TCGTTTTGGCGACAAGATTCGTTCGCAGTTGCAGCTGCCATGAGGGCGTCAGCGATCGCTATAAAACGGGATTCTTGAGCACTAGGAGGCGCGACCGGTCTTCGTTGACCTGTTGGAAGAACTTCAGGGCCTCAGCCTTCTGTTGATACTCCACATCGTGGACGATGATCGCAAACCTCTGCGACACTTCTCTGGCTGTCCTCAACACGAAGGCGTCTTCAGCCGGGGGTGGCTTGACGTCTTCCTCCCACGGGTGCGGATCCGGTACTTCCACAATCTTTCGTCCGTAAGGGGCCCCTTGGACTAGAGGGGCTGGTTCCCCAACTTTGAAAGAGCCCGATAAGTTCCGCGCCACTCCAGTCCGGGGCTTCTCTTCGTCGGAATCGTCACCCGTCAAGTCGATCACTTCGTGTTTGAGCTTCACACTGTCCGGAATCTTGCTTGGTTTCTTCGGTGGAGAGCTCAACACGAGTTGATCGGCGTCTGGGGACACGTCCGGAGAGCCGTCGGCTGGTCGTTTCTTCACCGGGGACAGGGTTGACATCCCGGCACTCGAGTCCCTCTCTTGCTCGGGGAGGTCGATGTGGCCTTTTGCAGCCGACACCTTTCTGCCAATGCGTTGGGGTTCGGCCACGCCGGGGTTCGCGGGGACCCTTCCCGCCAAACGCAGCGACTTTCGTTGGGGCAATGGGGCTTGCTCTTGGTTGTTTGTCGACATTTTGACTTCTCACACTTCCGTTGCAGACAGTACCATGCTGCTCCACCAAATTGTCACGGGGTTTCCGTGAAAACGATCTTGGTACGTGTGGCGAAGGCAAGCGAGAGACAAAGAACACAAACAGGAGTCTGTATTCTCAGGCAAAATGTAAAGTCAAGTTAGGTATTATCGTTGTCTAAAGCAAACAGTCAGCGCACAGCCATCCCTCGACGGGGGGCTGGTTCGACCTCTTCAGCTTCCTCCTCAGGAAGGAAGTGTCCACAATCCCTGCCACCTCATCCAATGGCCGTTGGTCTTCAGGGATCCAGACACATGAGAGCCCCATGTCGACAGTGTGGTCGTCAACACTGGGTGATGAGATTTGGTATCGCTACCGCATACCTGTAGACTCACCCACTAAAGATCCCGGACACACACTCTTCGAGTCTTCAACACTCCGTTGATAACGCACCGCGACAAAGTCGACAAACGGGGGAGGATGTAACGAAGTCAAGAGCGTAAATGACTTGGATTGCCGACTTAGGAGAATATCCGTTGAGAACATCGTTAGAGAAGCCACGTTAGGAAGAACCATTAGTCAAGGATATCACGACAATCTATGTACTTTTCCTCTGTGCCTAAAACACTACAACGCAGAGCAGTACCTTGACCTCATTGAGGAAATCATTGTTTACGCCAGCAATCTAGTGATGACGCTGGTAGTCGCCGCGTGTGAAGCGTGCAGGCTCAACCCAGGTAGGAACCAATGGGTACTTCTAGTTTGATGGAAAGGCCTTGAAGACATTAAACCCAGTTGGGAGCCACTCCAAGTGATGTACAGAGAAATACCTCTCCTTGTAAAGTAATAAATCGTAGGCATCGAAGATGCCGGTCAGAGTAAAAAACTGACCGAGGCGGTCGCATTACTGTAGTAACCTGATGCTGAGGTGTTGCGCCACATGGCCCGGGTATTACCACGACAGTCAACTGTCCGCGGCTGCATGTATTGCATGTGAATGTTGAATTAAAATGAGGGTTCATCTTTTATGTTCTCCAGTGAGATGTTTACGCGCAATTTGGTGCTATTTTGGTAGGAACGCGCAGGGGAGTGCGTACGAAATTGGGAATATAAAGATGGAAACCGACCAATTATTTAAAGTTGTTGACCGAGTCGAAGGGGCGGGATGGCGGACGAGGGAGCCGGTGCGCGGGCCAGGGGGGCAGGCTTGGACCGTAGCAGTAGGTTACCAAGGCGGGCCAGTGCGTCCATGTGGATGCGAGCGCGGCAAACCTGGTTTTCTGGCGCACTCGCATCCACATGGAAGCAGCACGGCTGATGTGCCGAGGAGGCAGCACAAAGGCCCGCTTGCACGCGTGCTCCAAGTCTAGAGTATGGCGTCGAATCTGCAGAGTGTGGTAGGGCATCTCACGACATGTTGGAATCGCTTACATCTGCTCGCACCCTGGGTGCTGCTGCTGTGCTGCAAAAATGAGTTCGAAAAAGTTGAGTGAATTTGAGGAAAATTTGGAAAAATCATTTTTTCATTGCGCATCCAGCCAGGAATCAAGGCTCTGAGGGTGGACGTGTAGGCTAATTTGGTGTGTTTTTGGTGAAAAATCGGTAATGCGAATTTTGATGCTGGACGCGAAATAGATTTATATGAATTTCATTACGCGAAAATTGCACCTGCACGACAACGTTGAACCGGTAAATTCCTGTGCAGCAGCGCCACAGTTCGTCGTCATATGCCACGACGGCTATCAGTTAAATTCCCTGCCTCGCGAGCACAAACTTCAGTCTTGCCATCCCTTTGTCATTTATGCAGGATATATATTGTGTAATACATTCGAAACTGGAGCTGCACGACGAAACGAATCGCGTAAGTGAATCACGTAAAGAATCGCTTAAGCCAATCAAAGTCATTTCCGTCAAATGATTATAGCCAATCAAATCAAAGCACTTTTCCATTGACTGCACTGTCAGTAGTCAGTCTCCGAGTGACGATGCAGCGCACCTCACCACCACACAGATATCTCACGCACTCGTCCCAGTCACCACCACAGGTCGTTCTTGCCTCCGATACTCAACGGTCTACTGCACATAGCACCCCTTCCCACAGTCATCCTGGACAGTATTGCATGCGGGCAGATTTTGTTCTCAAAGTTACCGTTTACGGCCGCGATCACAATGGCCGCAGATTGCCACCACAAGTGTTTGAAGGAGACTCTTGGGAAAACATCAAAGAACGTCTGTTTGAGTATGTACGACCACACATCAAGACACAGAGAACGACAGTAAAAGTGGCCCCGTGGTATCCCACAGCGTTTTTGGAATAATAATATGGCATTGCCAATACATTGCAGGAGGTTAATTAAACATTATTTTAACCAATACTACTCCGTTCTTCTTTAAGTGGAAGTGCCAGTGCAGCCAGCGAGTGTGGGACAAACGAACTGCAATAATCAATGGCCATGTCAAGAATCTATTCTTGGGGGTACAAATTGCCGTAGGATTAAGTGGTGGTCACACAGGAGCAAATGGAGTCCACCCAGAGCAAGCCCACCTCAGGGAAAGGAAGCAAAGCCAACATCAAAGACTGGCAACGAGAGGAGATATTCCGATGCCTCCTCGAGGTGTCCCAAGACGGACGTCTACCTGCTGGAGCTGTACGTGACCTGTCGGCTGAGTACAATGTGTCCCAGCAAACGGTCTACCGCATCTGGAACCGCGGTTGACAACCTGATAGAGGGAAATATGGCAGTGTTGTCAGCAGACGTATGGGTAAATGTGGGCGATAGCTTATGTATCCTGACCTCTTGGACAGAATCAAGTTTATGTATCCTGACCTCTTAGACAGAATCAAGGTTACAAGACCCAAAGCATCGCTCTACACTGCGCGATCTTGCTGCCGCGACATTCCCAAAACTGTTCTGTACATTCGACTCAAATCGGCGTATATCAAGAAATACTCCCGTTCATTAAGGTCCCTTTTAACACCAACTAACATGTACTTCCGTAGCAAGTGGGCTCTTAGCTTCATTAGCTCGGATTTGACTGTTGCCAACATGGAAAATTACGTCCATGTTGATGAGAAATGGTTCTTCCTCAAAGTTGCCAAATGCACGTTTTACGGTGTAACCGGCGAAACTCCACCGCCCCGTGTCGTAAAGAACAAGAACTTCATCATCAAGGTAATAGTGCTCTCACACATGCACGATACCAACTTTTACAACAAAATTAACAATATATCCAACAACACATAATAGGTGATGGTGCTGTGTGCTGTGGCTAAGCCGAGATGGAACAACATCACGCAGCAATGGTGGGACGGCAAAATTGGCTGCTGGCCTTTC